ATTTTCTTTAAGAAATATAATAACTTCGTTATTTTTTAAGGTATCTACTTCAAACTTCAAATATATATTTCTTATCATTACACAAATGTTGTGTGCCAAGGTCCATAACTCTAGCATGACTATTTCTAGAATTATTCCCCTTGATCTTGGAATTTATGATAACAAATGTTATTTTTTACTGTAACTTAATACATTATTATACATAATTGATTTTTCTTTCATAGTTTTGTCCTCCTTACTGCGTCCAGTATTTCATTAGTCGAGCTTCGCTGACTCCTGTGACAGCTCTTGTTTATTTTTTGCAATGCAATGGAAAACATTACCTTTATTAAAATAATCAGTTTATCGTTAAGTTTTAGAAATTTTTAGAATTCATTATGATGAATTATACAAATTTTTATGCGGGGTATGCAGTTTATGCAGGCAGAGTACCTTTATTTCACTGAAATTTCACAGAAACAATTAATATTTTTCCACATTGATATAGGTTACTGGTAAGGTTTGCAAATTTTAATAAAATTCTGAAAAAATATTCGTATCTGATGTTTGGAATCAGTTTGATAGTCATATACATGTTGACACTAGGATTAGACCCCTTAATAAAAAACTGTGACTATATAATATTTTTTTTGTATTATTATACTGAATTTCAAACAAGATACCTTGCTAATTTTTTTTACAATATTCATCATAAAGGTATGAAAATTTACTGATGCACAGAGCCAGTTTATACAGAAAACATTAAAACCCCACTATTTTGTATATTGTTACAGGAACAGGAAATAGCAAGCAGCCATCTTGGATTTATCATGTGCTTTTATGGAAATTGAAAATTGTGGAATTATTTTTTTTAAACAGTTTATATTAAGTGTTCAACTAATTACTTTTTCAAGAAAAATGACTTTTTTTATTGGAGGAACTAGTTATGGAAGAAAATAGAACTGCACGTTCTTATATCAGATTGAAGAGATGTGCACATCTATTTGCATGTGTAGAATTTTGCAGTGTTAAAAATTTTGATTTCCATGTGGATGAATACAGTAAACGAATTTATTTATTTGACAACAAAAGTGTAAGAGAACTTTGGCAATTTATTTTGAACTGTGAATATAGAGGAGCTTGTATTGTAAATATAATTCCAGATGTTGTACCTGAGTGATCAATGTGGTTGGTTGATTTTGTTAACATTTGTAAGTACTGTCAAGTCTCATGCTTAAAGTACAGGCAACGGACTCCCAACAAAAGTTGTGATATGCGGGGAGCTAGTTTCGTCGCAAACAGCGACAAATTTTATGCTATAGAGCGAACTTTTGTTGCAGAGCGCGGACAGATCTACAGTGAAAATTTGCTCACTAAAGCAATTTCACGACAATGTTTTAGCAAATTTTTGCCATTAAACTAAATTTACTAATGGTCAATAAATGGAAATACATAAATGTGAATAATTTCATTTTTATTGTTAGCTATTCGATAAGAATAAGTAGAGCTATTGCAGTCACCCGAGCGTCGGCGTCCGCGTCGGCGTCCACGTCGGCGTCGGCGTAACCACTTATGTTAAAGTTTTTGTAATAGTTCAAATATTTTCAAAGTCCATAGACATATGGCTTTGAAACTTTGCACACTTGTTCACCATCATGACCCCAACCTGTAGACAGGAGGAGGTAACTCTATCAAGCATTTTGACAGAATTATGCCCCTTTTTCGACTTAGAATTTACGTTAAAGTTTTTGTAATAGTTCAAATATTTTCAAAGTCCATTGACATATGGCTTTGAAACTTTACACACTTGTTCACCATCATGACCCCAACTTGTAAACAGGAGGAGGTAACTCTATCAAGCATTTTGACAGAATTATGCCCCTTTTTCGACTTAGAATTTACGTTAAAGTTTTTGTAACAGTTCAAATATTTTCAAAGTCCATTGACATATGGCTTTGAAACTTTACACACTTGTTCACCATCATGACCCCAACCTGGAAACAGGAGGAGATAACTCTATCAAGCATTTTGACAGAATTATGCCCCTTTTTCGACTTAGAATTTACGTTAAAGTTTTTGTAATAGTTCAAATCTTTTCAAAGTCCATTGACATATGGCTTTGAAACTTTGCACACTTGTTCACCATCATGACCCCAACCTGTAAACAGGAGGAGGTAACTCTATCAAGCATTTTGACAGAATTATGCCCCTTTTTCGACTTAGAATTTATGTTAAAGTTTTTGTAATAGTTCAAATATTTTCAAAGTCCATTGACATATGGCTTTGAAACTTTGCACACTTGTTCACCATCATGACCCCAACCTGTAAACAGGAGGAGGTAACTCTATCAAGCATTTTTTTTACTATCAAGCACTAAGAATAGTCGAGCGTTGCTGTCCTACCGACAGCTCTTGTTCTCAAATGCAATCTTGTTTACTGAGTTATCGCCCTTGAATATATAAAATGTTTTGCCCTGTTAATCATTTTTGTGTCTTCCACTACACAGAAGCTGCAACATGAAATTGGCCATCATGAGGTGACACATGTGATCACTGATTGCTCTTGTATATAGAAGAGCATTTACAGTAATTCTAACTCTCACTATCTTGTCTTAAGTCTTGCTGAATAATGTCTGCATGTTCATAAGAAAAGTGAGGTTGGGTATGGGAATGAATCTGTTGCCAACAGCATAGTCCACAAAAGGCACTTTTAAATTGAAGGAACATGCCTTTCAGTAACAAATAAATTGTGCACAGATCTACTGACTGATCTGTATTGCTTAATCACAAAATTGTTTTACTCAAGTTTTGTCCAAAGGGATGGCAAGTTCTTGCCAGGGACATACATGACCCTCACAAGCTGTAAGGGTAATTAATTTGTTAAAGGTTTGGATTAACTTCATTTTAAGAATTAATATTGTTACGGTTAAGAACTTTGTGTATATTTAACTCAAATTGACCTTAGTTCATTTATGACCTTGACCTTGAAGGTCAATTTGTTGAATTTTGACAGATCTTTGAGAAAATTTACTACCCTGGTAATTAATATGTAGGTTATTTTCATAATTGGATTAAACAACTTTTAGGATAGGACCTTTAAAAGTACCTTGATCTTGAGCTTTAATTGACCTTGACTGCCAAGGTCAAATTACTGAATTTTGGTTAAATTGTTTTAATTTTGTATGAACTTGATATATATGATATCGACAAAATAAGACTTTATTACAAACAAATATATTTGATTATTTAGATGTGATCTTGGCCTATAAGGTCACATACAGTCAAGATCAAATTATTGATTCTTGTTAAAATATAACAACTTTCATTTTTATAAATGGACTTGTTGAACACTTGGACAAAACAAGATTTGTTACCAAACAAACATATTGAGTCATTACCATGTGACTTTGACCTTTAATTCAACTAGGCAGTTAAGGGCAAATTATTGAATCTAGGTTAAATTGTCTTGATGTTGTTATTTATATAAGGATTTGTTTAATACTTTGGCAAAACAAGACTTGCTACCTAACAAACATATTGCAAAGTTTCAGATGTAAAATTCAACTTTTGTATCAGCTAATCTATCAAAATAAAAAAGATAAAATTTTATTTTCACCCTTGCTTTAATTTCTTTCTTAAAGAGCACAGGGTGGAGGCTCAGGCTACAGACACTCATGATAACATATTTGAGGTCCTGAATACAGCAACTCAGATCAGACAAGAAGCCCAAACTACAGAAAATCTACAGGAAAAACTAGAGGCCCAGACTACTGAAAATCTGGAGATGATGCTGGAGATCCAAACTACACACAATCTACAGGACATATCAGAGGCCCAGACTACAGAAAATCTAGAGGTCATGCTGATGACCCAAACTACAGACAATGTACAGGACATATTAGAGGCCCAAACTACAGACAATGTAGAGGTCATGCTGATGACCCAAACTACAGACAATGTACAGGACATATTAGAGGCCCAGACTACAGAAAATCTAGAGGTCATGCTGAAGACCCAAACTACAGACAATCTACAGGACATATTAGAGGCTCGGACTACAGACAATGTAGAGGTTGTGCTGAAGACCAAAACTACAGAGAATCTACAGGACATATCAGAGGCCCAGACTGCAGAAAATCTAGCGGTCATGCTAAAAACCCAAACTACAGACAATCTTCAGGACATATTAGAGGCCCGGACTACAGACAATGTAGAGGTTGTGCTGAGGACCCAAACTACAGACAATCTTCAGGACATATCAGAGGCCCAGACTACAGAAAATCTAGAGGTCATGCTGAGGACCCAAACTACAGAAAATCTACAGGACATATTAGAGGCCCAGACTACAGACAATGTAGAGGTTGTGCTGAAGACCCAAACCACACACAATCTACAGGACATATTAGAGGCAAATACTACAGAAAATCTAGAGGTCATGCTGAAGACCCAAACTACAGACGATCTACAGGACATATTAGAGGCTCAGACTACAGACAATGTAGAGGTTGTGCTGAAGACCAAAACTACAGACAATCTACAGGACCTATCAGAGGCCCAGACTGCAGACAATGTAGAGGTTGTGCTGAGGACCCAAACTACAGACAATCTTCAGGACATATTAGAGGCCCAGACTACAGACAATGTAGAGGTTGTGCTGAAGACCAAAACTACAGACAATCTACAGGACCTATCAGAGGCCCAGACTGCAGACAATGTAGAGGTTGTGCTGAAGACCCAAACTACAGACAATCTTCAGGACATATTAGAGGCCCAGACTATAGACAATGTAGAGGTTGTGCTGAGAACCCAAACCACACACAATCTACAGGACATATTAGAGGCCAATACTACAGAAAATCTAGAGGTCTTGCTGAAGACCCAAACTACAGACAATCTTCAGGACATATTAGAGGCTCGGACTACAGACAATGTAGAGGTCATGCTGAAGACACAAACTACAGACAATATACAGGACATATTAGAGGCCCAGACTTCACACAGTGTAGGGAATATGCTTGAGACATTGACTACAGACACTCTAGAAAACAGGTTAGATGCCGAGATTTTATTCAGTCTGGAGGATATGATGGAGACCAAGACTACAGACAATCTAGAGAAAATGCTAGTGACAAAGACTTAAGACAGTCCGGAGAAAATGCTAGAGAACCAGGCTACAGACAATCCTGAAAACATGTTAGAGACCATGACTACAGACAATCTGAAGAATATGATGGAGGCTTATACTAAAGATGTAAGTATGCTTCAAATTGCATTACAAAAGTACATTTTGAAATCTATAAACAACATTTATATATGTCTACATACATAAAGTCTACTAAACTCTTTCTTGGAAGAGCTTATGATCTTTTTTTCAACATCATTTGTGTGACAGCGACTTTGGTTTGACCAAAGTGTTCCCTTGGCTATTTTCTCTCAAAACAGCATTTACAGTCTAAATCTTGGTAACTGTGGTAATGCTGGGTCAGAGAAAACTTGACTAGAAAATCCCCATACTTTTTTAGCTCAATTTAGTGATAGTTCTAGTTAATATATGTTACTACATATCATGACTGCTCATTGTAGACCCATATGAGGAAGATGGCAGTGCAACCTTCCAGTCTGAAGTCTATACAGGCTGCTGCAGAGGAGCTGATCAAACAAACCAATGATCTGCAGGATTATTGTGTGAAAGGTTGGTGCTAGGCATTCACTAAACTTAATCAATCAGAAATATCTGCAAATTGATATGATCGCACAAAAAAACTAACATTGTTGACAATGAAATCAATATGTTTCAGTTTTTGTAGCTTCACTGTTTGATCAGAGTCAGCATTTTGTCATTATTAGGTCATTGCTGACTTTCTGTATTTCAGAGACTTTCAGAGAACTTTGTTGGTCGTTATAAGTTACCAAAAGAAAAAGTAGAGGAATAATTGTTACAGTCTTGTCGGCGTTCCCGTTTTTTGCTTTAACTGGCTATCACTGTCTTAATACTGAATGGATTGACTTTATACTAAAAAGTGCTTCAACCCCCACTGGGTGAGGACCCCCAGAAGCCCCTTCAACTTTAAGATTTTTCTGCATTTCCTTTCAGTTTCATGTCTGAAAAAATATCAATACTGTACATAAAAACCTCTTTATTTATGAACTTAAATTAGAAAATTGTCTGCACTTCATTGTTTCAATCTTAGGGAGAAAGAAGCATTTAGCTGTCGTGCCGCCATTAATTCATGATTCTGAAGGCGAAAGTGAGGAATATATTGAAGATTCGGACAATGATTCAGACTATATTCCATCTGAAGGTAGGCAAATCAAATTATTTCTGTTGTCCAACCACTGCATCTATCATTGCAGTTAGAATGATTTTATTTGGCAAAGAAGTAAAATTTGAAATAAACTGTTTTCGTTCTTTGCGACTGTAAAAATTATTTTTCTGATGATTGAATAACTGGATATTGTTGCATTAGAAATTGAAAAAGTTAAAACTTTTAAGTCTGACAATAATATTACACTATTCTTATTTATGCTTCTACCTGGCAAACAAAGGTTCCAATGTTAATGCAGTTTGCTTGTGTGGCAGTCCTCGAGTTTTAAGTATTCTTGCCTGTGTGCTTATGGCTCTGATATGTCAAGCTATTGATCCTTACAATAGCTTTTTTCTTAAACTGCAGATGGAAGTGAGTCAAACACCAGTGAAGTTATTTCAGAAATAGAAATCCCTGAAGTGTCATTGACTTCAGTGCAGGAAAACAGGTAATGGTAATTTTTTTACATAATTTATACCTCTGTAAAACTTGTTGTACAGGCTGAGACCATTGAGCTCTGCTTTTCAAATATATATGCATTGGAGTTGGTTAACCTTTAAAAAATAAATTTAGCTATAGCTATATTACTATCCAAACATTTTAATATTGATAATAAATTTAATGCCACCCCAAAATTGAGGAGGCATATTTACTTCTCTAGGGGCTACAGTTTCAGACCAAATATCCTGGAAATTGGTCGGGAAGGTTATTTTGATGATTTATAGGTCAAGTTCGGATAAAGTCGTATCTGGTCAAAATCTAGGTTACAGGAGCTAAAAATAGAAAAATCTTTTGTTGAAAAAATATAAAATAGTACTTAATAATTAATTGACAGTTTAAAAATGGTCTGTGCATAGTAGAAGTATTGTAATATAACATCTGTTCAAACTGAAAAAAGGATATTCAAAGAAGACCCCTTTATACTTTGTAAACAACTGTCTTGTACACAAATCTTCCTTTATTAGACAATAAGTTAATGATGACACTAAGCAGTGCAGGACAAACATCGCCAGATAAGCGATTCAGGGCCACAATGGCCCTCTTGTTTAATAAATTACTGCATTTCAGAAAATGCATGAATAGTATTTCAAAAATAAGTGTCCGAAAAATGAGCTTTGGAAGAATCGCTGATTAGCTATAACTGGGACATCTTTCAAAAAGATGACACTGAATTTTATTTGACCTTTATTTTCTAGGTGAAATGATTAAAATTAAATTATGATTATTTTGTTATTTGTTTTAAAGGATTTGATCCATACTTGGATAAAAGAACACTCATGATATGAGTAATATACTGAATAATTCGAATATAACCTTAATATTAAAATGGCCTTGACTATCAAGGTCAAGTCATTGAAATTTGCTTAAATTGTAATTGATTTATTTATACACAGATTTGATTCAAACTTCTGCAAAAATGATGTGATGAATCATGTATGTTCGACCTTGACATTTAAATGACTGTCAAGGTCAAGTTATTGAATTTTGCTTAAATTGTGAAAATTTGTTATTCATTTACAGATTTAATTTATACTTGGACAACTCAATGGGTCATTACTAGATAAAGTTAATGAAATATAGGTTATCGAAAGTCTTTTATTTATTTTATTTCATTATAGAGATCAGAACAGTGACCATGAAGAACCTCCTGAAATGGTAGAACCTGATACTGAAGAGCCAACGAAGCATCATCTGCGATGGCTTTTTAGAAACAGTAAATACTATTGTTCTTTTAGGAATTTTTATGCTCCCTGAAAAATTTCGGGGGAGCATATAGTCAGCACCTTGTCCGTCCGTCCGTCTGTCCATCCGTTGTCTTGTCCGGAGCATAACTTGAAAACCCTTGGAGATAATTTGTTTAAACTTCATACAGAGGTAGAGGGCATTGAGGGGGAGTGCAGTGTCAAAGAACTATAACTTTATTTTGCCTGGTTTTTGAATTATCTCCCCTGATAGAAAAATCTTGTCCGGTACATAACTCTTAAAACTATAAGAGATATAAACATGAAACTTTGTAGGTGAATAGATCTCAATGGGTAGATGTGCAGTGCATAAGAACAATAACTCTTTTTGTCCTAATTTTGGAGTTATTGCCCTTTGTTAATTTTAACACTTTGAACTTTGTCCGGAACATAAATCTAAAACTATAAGAGATATCAAGATGAAACATTGTAGGTAGATAGATCTCGTTGAGTAGAAGTGCAGTGCAAAAGAACCATAACTCTGTTAAGCTTCATTTTTGAATTATTTCCCCTTTTAGAAAATCTTGTCCAGGAAGGGATTTTTTTTGCTATATAAATGTAGCCGTTTAACAGCTACTTCCCCAGCTGAAAAAAAATTCCCCTTGAGCTAAAAAATTCCCTTGGTCTGAATAAAATCAACTATTATAGCTTGTTTGTTTAAAAAATCATATTTTTGTTCAAATAGTTGTTAATTTTTATGGGGCCTACAGTGTTTGATATTACTGATTGTCCTGCAAATAAGAAGTCCAATGCCGCCGATTGGCAACCCTCTCCCTTATGCTGATCAAATCTCTAAACATTCTGTCTTTGGGAAAATTCCACTCAAAATGTGTAAAAATATGTTATATTATTTATTCTTATAGATTTCAATCATAGTCTGGAGGAACATGGAGTTATATTTATACCAAAAATCGGCAAAATATTCTATTATCACATATTTTCGCGACCTACTTCCTGTTTGATTTTCGGCTGGAATTCTGAGAGGAATGAGTTAGTTTAAGTAAATAAATTATGAAACATAAAATAATGAATTAATTTTTAGCTCACCTGTCACTTTGTGACAGGGTGAGCTTTTGTGATCGCTTTTCGTCCGGCGTCCGTCTGTCCGTCCGTCGTCCGTAAACTTTTACTTTAAATGACATCTCCTCATAAACCACTGAGCCAATTTCATCCAAACTTCACAGGAATGTTCCTTTGGTGGTCACCTTTGAAAATTGTTCAAAGAATTAAATTCCATGCAGAACTCTGGTTGCCATGGCAACCAAAAGAAAAAACTTTAAATATCATCTTCTATAAAACCAAAAGAGCTAGAGCTTAGATATTTGGCATGAAACATCTTCTAGTAAGTGTCTACCAAGTTTGTTCAAATAAAAGCCCTGGGGTCAAAATTGGCCCCGCCCCAGGGGGTCATTGATTTTTCCTATATGCATATAGTAAAAACTTTAAAAAATCTTCTTTTAAAGAACCCAAAGAGCTAGAGCTAAGATATTTAGCATGAAACATGTTCTAATGAGTGTCTACCAAGTTTGTTCAAATAAAAGCCCTGGGGTCAAAATTGGCCCCGCCCCAGGGGGTCATTGATTTTTTCTATATGCATATAGTAAAAACTTAAAAATCTTCTTTTAAAGAACCCAAAGAGCTAGAGCTAAGATATTTGGCATGAAACATGTTCTAAGAGATGTCTACCAAGTTTGTTCAAATAAGAGCCCTGGGGTCAAAATTGGCCCTGCCCCAGGGGGTCATTGATTTTCCCTATATGAATATAGTAAAAACTTAAAAATCTTCTTTTAAAGAACCCAAAGAGCTAGAGCTTAAATATTTGGCATGAAACATGTTCTAATGGATGTCTACCAAGTTTGTTCAAATAAGAGCCCTGGGGTCAAAATTTTCCCCGCCCCAGGGTGTCATTGATTTTCCCTATATGAATATAGTAAAAACTTAAAAATCTTCTTTTAAAGAACCCAAAGAGCTAGAGCTAAGATATTTAGCATGAAACATGTTCTAATGGATGTCTACCAAGTTTGTTCAACTAAGAGCCCTGGGGTCAAAATTGGCCCCGCCCCAGGGGGTCATTTATTTTTCCTATATGCATATAGTAAAAACTTAAAAATCTTCTTTTAAAGAACCCAAAGAGCTAGAGCTAAGATATTTGGCATGAAACATGTTCTAATAGATGTCTACCAAGTTTGTTCAAATAAGAGCCCTGGGGTCAAAATTGGCCCTGCCCCAGGGGGTCATTGATTTTCCCTATATGAATATAGTAAAAACTTAAAAATCTTCTTTTAAAGAACCCAAAGAGCTAGAGCTAAGATATTTAGCATGAAACATGTTCTAATGGGTGTCTACCAAGTTTGTTCAAATAAAAGCCCTGGGGTCAAAATTGGCCCCGCCCCGGGGGGTCATTGATTTTTCCTATATGCATATAGTAAAAACTTAAAAATCTTCTTTTAAAGAACCCAAAGAGTTAGAGCTAAGATATTTGGCATGAAACATGTTCTAATGGATGTCTACCAAGTTTGTTCAAATAAGAGCCCTGGGGTCAAAATTTTCCCCGCCCCAGGGGGTCATTGATTTTCCCTATATGAATATAGTAAAAACTTAAAAATCTTCTTTTAAAGAACCCAAAGAGCTAGAGCTAAGATATTTAGCATGAAACATGTTCTAATGGATGTCTACCAAGTTTGTTCAACTAAGAGCCCTGGGGTCAAAATTGGGATCACCCCAGGGGATATTGATTTTCCTTATATGTGTATAGCAAAACTTAAAAATCTACTTGGAAATAACCCGAATAGCTAGAGTTTAGATATTAAGCATGAAACATCTTCTAGTAAGTGTCTACAAAGATTAATCAAATAAAAGCCCTGGGGTCAAAACTGGCCCTGCCCCAGGCCCTGTCATTGCTTTTAAATACTAGTATATGTGTAAAGAAAAAACTTAAAAAATCTTTTTTTAAAAAACCCCAACAAGCTAGACCTTAGATGTTTAGCATGAAACATCTTCTTATGGGTGTCTACCAAGTTTATTCAAATAAAAGCCCTGGGGTTTAAACTTGCCCTGCTCCGGGGGGCCTATATACAGGTGAGCGACTTCAGGGCCATCATGGCCCTCTTGTTATGCATTAAGTGTCAAAATGTCCTTTGAAAAATCATCATCTAATTAATTTAGCGCTTAATGCAGTTTTTATATAGAAAAATCAATGTAACCATTCTGAAATAATTAGGGGAGGTGTGTGAGGAGGTAACAGCAATGTTGAAGCTTGGCAACACCACAAATGATATTAATTCAAGTGATTCCAACTTAAATAAAGTGGTTTTGTATGTAAAGGGAATTCAAGGTCAAGAAGATGGTTCTGAGATCTGAACTGTTTGCATTGTTCATGACCCACCTGACGTTTTGTTCCATGTTTATTTAAAAGTTATTAACTTATTTTTATAATGTAAGAGATTTTCCCCAAAATGTCATTTTTTCGCGCATTTTTTTCCCCAATTGAAAGGCCAGGCCTTTTCCCCAAAATTGAAAAAAAAGCCCTGCCAGGACATAGCTGTAAAACTATAAGAGAACTTGTCCAGGACATAGCTGTAAAACTATAAGAAATATCCACATGACACTTTGTAGGTAGATATATCTCAATGGGTAGATGTACGTGCACAAGAATCATAACTCTGTATTGCCTAATTCTGGAGTTATTGCCCTTTGTTTATTTTTACTTTTTGAAGTTATCCGGGATATAACTCAGAAACCATAAGAGATATGAACAAGCAGAGCAACAGAAAAGCTTTAAAAGTGAATTGGGTATTACTCCATCATTTCCTTTGGAATTGGGTATTTGCTCTATTTAATTGGGTATTCCCAAACTTGATACCCTATTATTTCAAGATCAATTGGGTATTCACTTATGAAGATATGAATTTTATGGTTTCAATAAAATTTAAACTGTTTTAAAAAGTAAATAGGATTAACCACAGGGACCCAGCACAGTGTAGATCTAGTGTAAAAAAGTAATTCTAGAAAAAAATATATACTGTATTTATAATAATAATATATATTATATCTATACAGTATATATTTTTTTCTAGAATTACTTTTTTACTCTAGATCTATCCCAACACTGTGCTTGGTCCCTGTGGGATTAACAATTTACTACAACTTTCACAATTGTTAAATTTTTTATATAAAATGCTCATGTTGTATTTCATAATATTTTTAACAAGTTCGTTTTCTGACTGATTTTTGATTATTTACGACTGTTTTTTTTTTCAAATCATTCTCCCTTTTGTACGACGCCATATTGCTTTTAAAGCGACTATTGATACAGCTGGTATCTACTTATTGGCGGTCTCCGCAAAATCAACGGTCTCTGCCCGTCTGTAAAGACCGTCAACCTGAGTAGACAAATCAAGTTCAATTAAAAAGAAATGTTACAGCCCTTTGTGAAATTTTGAACAAACATTTTTTATGCAACTATTCTTGTTTTAGGACTTGTGCTAATAGACATATAGTTGAGTGATAGTACAGCTTAACACATTTTCTGAGGCCTTCTATTTAAGGTACTCATTCCATATTTTAAATAGATGTATATTGATGTAGAATTCCTTTCTTGTCTTTTAAGTTCGTATTGAAACATATGAAGCAAAGGATGGAAAGAGAAATTATAGCAGGACAGCATACTGTTTGTACTGTAAGAACAAATACATATCCAAAATGTCAAGTCATCTTTTGAGTGTTCATACAGATGAGACTCTTGTAAAACAAATCAGAGACTTACCTTTGAGAAGCATTGCTAGGAAAATGGAACTCCAGAAACTTCAGAAAGAAGGCAACTATCAGCATAATGCAGAGGTATATTACTTTCAAGTTAAAAGTGATTTCTTACAAGTTGGACAATTAAAGAATAACAGGAAAGATAAAAACCTAACCCAAGATGTCAACTTAAGTTCCATTCGACCCACAATGTTCAAACTTCATAGGATGATTGTCCATATTGGGTAGAAGACCCCTATTGATTTTGGGGTCACAATGTCAAAGGTCAAGGTCACTATAACCTTGATACTGGAAACAGTTTCCGGAGCATAACTTAAGTTCCATTTGGCCCACAGTGTTCAAACTTCATAGGATGATTATCCATATAAGGTAGAAGACCCCTATTGATTTTGGGGTCAAAAGGTCAAGGTCACTATATCCTTAAAACTGAAAACAGTTTCTGGAGCATAATTTAAGTTCCATTTGGCCCACAATATTCAAACTTCATAGGATGATTGTCCATATTGGGCAAAAGACCCCTATTGATTTTGGGGTCACTAGGTCAAAGGTCAAGGTCACAATTACCTTAAAACCAAAAACAGTTTCCGGAGCATAACGTTAGTTCCATTTGGCCAACAATATTCAAACTTCATAGGATGATTGTTCATATTGGGTAGAAGACCCCTATTGATTTTGGGGTCACAAGGTCAAAGGTCAAAGTCACTTTTACCCTAATACTGAAAACAGTTTCTAGAGCATAATTAAAGTTCTAATTGGCCCATAATATTCAAACTTCTTAGGATGATTGTCCATATAAGGTAGAAGACCCCTATTGATTTTGGGGTCACAAGGTCAAAGGTTAAGGTCATTATTAATAACTTAAGTATTAATCAACCTACAGCTGTAAAATTTTATAGGATGAACAGCGAATTCCCATGTCTTACAAATGCTTCATCCTTACTAAAAAAAAAACACTTTCGGGCATATAATGCTCCGCCTAGTGGTGCTCTTGTTCTCAAATGCAATCTTGTTGTTACTGAAGGGATTGATTTCAGATTTCAAATTACAGCACTTTCTGGTAGAGCATAGAAATGACTGACATTTTCACATTGAAAATTATGTTGTGCAAAAATATTGAACTTTTGACAGCTTTCTTGTTATTGATACAGAAATATATTTATGTCAAAAATGATTACTTTTTTCATAGTTTTGTCTTCCTTTACTGCGTCCAGGATTTAATTAGTCAAGCATTGCTGTCTCCCCCGACAGCTCTTGTTTATTTGGTACCTACACATACATGTATTAATTTCCAAATCCAAAATTTTAGCAAAAATGGTCCTTATACATCTTTAAGTTGACAGCCACTTGTATTAATACCGGTAATTGCTCAACTTACCAGAAGCTGACTGCCAAAGACATAATTATGTTTTATTCAGATTGCTTTCTTACAAACACTAGAAAAATGCATGTTTCATGTATTAACAGTAGGAAGGAGACTCTTTTTTCAGATGATATATATATTTTCAGGTGCTAAAGAAGGGAGAGGGTTTAATAGTTGTTTGTAGAAGACCTGGTAAATTGCAAGGAGATGCAAGTAACTATGTCCCATGTGAATACTGTTTTGGGTATTATCATGAGAAACAGATATGGAATCATTGTAAAGGATGTTATCACAGAGCAGTAGTGGTTGACTCCTCTGCAAATTATTTAAGAAACGGCAGAGCAATGTTGTCTCCTTTCTTTAAAAGGGAAGATAAAGACTATGATCAGCTAAATGAACTGATAAGTAAGATGAAAGAAACAGAAAAACATCCAGGATTGAAAAAAGTGTGTTATGAAGATGAGCTCATCAGAGAATTCGGAATACACTTGCTGGACAAACTGGGCAGTGAAGAGGAACAAAGACGAAAAGATAAGGATAACATTAGAACAAAAATGAGGTGTGTAGCTAGTCTGCTTAATAAACTTAACACAAAGAAGTTACTTCCACAGCCTTTGAACAATTTCATAAGTGCTCAGGAGTTCATAAATGTGGTCAATGCAGTCAAGGAACTGTCAAGGGAGAGAAACTCCCCCCAGTTTGCTGTATGTGTAGGAGGGTACTTAAAACATATATGTTTGTTGAAGAAAAGTCTAGGTCGTAGGCAAGAAGATAGAAGGAAACGAGAGGAAGCACAAGCTTTTGATGAAGAATTTGCAGCCCATTGGAATTCTAAGGTCAGTGCAGTTGCCAATCGAACAAAGCGATTAAGGAGCCTGAATAAGAAGCAGGACATTCCAGCAACTGAAGACTTGGTGAAATTGAAAGACTACCTTATTATGAGGATCAAGCAAGGGGCAAGCAATCTGAGGCCAACATATGCTGAATATGTGGAGATGACACAAGTGGTTACTGCTAGAGTGGCTCTATTTAATATGAGGAGGATAGCAGAAGTTGAGGAGTTGAAAATTGCTGATTTTGACATGAGAATCAGTGGAAATGAAGCAGGCAGTAATAGAGAAATTTTAGAGTCTCTGGATGTCACTGAAAAGGCTTTATTACAAAGGTAATGATCATTTATAAGAAGCATTATTTTTATTCCCTTGAATTAAGTGATACAAAAAAAAACCTTTTTTAACTTATTCTTTACAGGGCTCTAAATGTCACTTTTTAGTGCTGAAATTAGATATTATTCCATAGTTGAAAACTGTTAACCAGCCATTTACAAATACCAGTTAAATTCCCCTTCATTTTGTAACATAAGCTCTCATTCTTAATTATGTGAGAGAGTGGGGAAGTGGGGGAGAGAGGGAGAGCCCTGCATAACTTTCAATAAGCAGATTAATCACTCTGCGCATTAAGCAGTGGCCCAATGATGGCCTGTAAAATATTGATTGGGCCCCAAGATTTTTTAGTCACTGGAAAGAATTGCCTGTACAAAATAATTGGTCATTTATCAAGTTTTTCCAATTATTCTATTAGTGGACCATTTAATACATTTTCGGATGATAGAATAAGTATGACACATCCAACATATTGAGTGACTTCATGCTTACATTGACCTTGAACTGTCCTTGACCGTCAATGTCAAGTTATTGAATTTGGTTATTGATTGACTGATTTAATAAATTTTTGGATCATAGAACACTTACGAAACATTTGACATGTTGAGTGACTTAATGCTGAACTTTCTTGTTTTAGTGCTCTGTAAGTTGTATACAATTTTAAAATGCCCTGTAGCTTTTATATATTTATGTATACCTCCTAAGTGGTTTATAATTTTTAAATGCTCCATAAATGATATATATATATATTCACACATACCTTCACTTACGGGGCCTATATATAAGACCGAGTTGAGTGGCATTATTTCATGCAGTCAGTTTTTAAATATGCCACTATGTAGGCATATAATGAACATTTCCAAACAATAGAACTAAGGTATATATATCAACTATATATTTAATTTTACAATAGGTGAAAACATATTGACCAATAACATAAAACCCCTTAAAAATATATACATTTGTGGGACATATAGCATTAACTATTAAAACCGGCTTACGGACACTATTTTAGAAGGGTAGCCTACGCCCCCATACATCATTTTAAACATGCTAGAGTTGCCAGGCCTTATTTATACCCCAAATTAAATATAAACCCCACAAGTATGGTCTTAAATAGACTGATGCCCTGTAAATGGAGGAATGTAACTGTATATATATATATATATATATATTGTTATATATACCCCACAAGTTGTGTATATATTGTTATATACATGTATACCCCACAAGTTGTGTATATATTGTTTTATATACCCCACAAGTTGTGTATATATTGTTATATATACCCCATAAGTTGTGTATATATTGTTTTATTATATAATCTATAAATAGCTTTGAAATGCCTTTCCCTGATTGGCTAACAAGCAATTTTTTGTAAAAAATAACAGGTCAATATCAGAGTATATTCACTGTTTTTTTCCCCTAAAAATAGATTTTCAGAGTATATTCACCAGTTTTTCTTCTAAAAATAGATTTTCTGGAAATCCATAAAAGGCGCGAGACTTAGACGTGACGTCACGCCAATTTGTTGTTATTATTCTGAAAAAAACGTTGAGTGTGGTGTACATAAGAGTCAAATAAGTCTATTTAGTTACTGTTTTTTTTTCATTTTTAAGAACAATAGGGATTAGCATGCCAATGGAAAGGGCCAAATTATGGAAACAGTAGACAAGCTGAACAATAATGATTTCCGTCGTATGCAATGGCTGATGTGATAAGCCATATAAAAGCTATTTATAAATTATATAATAAAACAGATATGTACTTTTTAGCTGTTGAATATGATGTGATATGTACTGAAAAATTAATATTGACCTCGGCTATCGCCTCGGTCAATATTAATTTTTTAGTACATATCACATCATATTCAACAGCTAAAAAGTCCATATTTGTATAATATATACCCCACAAGTTGTGTATATATTGTTATATATACCCCACAAGTTGTGTATATATTGTTATATATACCCCACAAGTTGTGTATATATTGTTATATATACCCCACAAGTTGTGTATATATTGTTTTATATACCCCACAAGTTGTGTATATATTGTTATATATACCCCATAAGTTGTGTAAATATTGTTTCATATACCCCACAAGTTGTGTATATATTAAGAGGATATTTTTTCGTTTTTCGTGAAATATTTTATATATTTTCACGAAACATGATATAATGCCACATATTTTCACGAGCCGGGACGGCGAGTGAAAATATGTGGCATTTTATCATGTTTCGTGAAAATATATAAAATATTTCACGAAAAACGAAAAAATAACCTTTTTATTTAATTTACTTATCAAAAAAAAAATGGTTACGAATCACCTTGCTTGCTACGCAACTGCAATTGTACAGCGCGCAGTAATATAGATGCGTCTTGTTTTGCACGCGATATTTGGCGCTACATTGTGACGTCACGTAAACAATCCTTTAAACGCCTGTACAGCGTTAATGGCTGAATTAAAGATATTGGTGTTCGGATTAATTTTCTTAGACCATTTTCTATCCTTCTAGATAGTTTTCAAAACGAAATTCAACGAAAAGTTGTTTTGTATTTCTCAGATTTTTCAAACAAAATGGCGAAAGAAGTCCCTTGAAATAAATATGAGTTTTGACTCCGCCCACTTTCATATTTATATTTCATATTTATTCTTAAAAAATATGAAATATATATTTGACTGATATAGCACCATATTTCATGGATAAAATTAAATAATGTTATATATACCCCATAAGTTGTGTATATATTGTTATATATACCCTATATTGTTATATATACCCCACAAGTTGTGTATACATGTATATTGTTTTATATACCCCACAAGTTGTGTATATATTGTTATATATACCCCATAAGTTGTGTATACTTTACTATCCTAGCTTAGTTTTAATTATAAATGACTCATTTTTAGCTCGACTATTCGATAAGAATAAGTAGAGCTATTGTAGTCACCCGAGCTTTGGCGTCAGCGTAACCACTTATGTTAAAGTTTTTGTAATAGTTCAAATATTTTCAAAGTCCATTGACATATGGCTTTGAAACTTTGCACACTTGTTCACCACCATTACCCCAACCTGTAAACAGGATTAGGTAACTGTATCAAGCATTTTGACAGAATTATGCCCCTTTTCCGACTTAGAATTTATGTTAAAAAAAACGTTAATTGTAAAATTACGACGTCACGTCCGTTGATATTATTATTATTTATTTACCTTGAAAAAGGCATACATTTGCCGAAACGGAAAAATAAAAAATGATATTATACGTGTTATTGCTGTGACTTTATTATTTTAATGTTAAAGTTTTTGTAATACCTCAAATATTTTCAAAGTCCATTGACAGATGGCTTTGAAACTTGCACACTTGTTCACCATCATTACCCCAACCTGTAAACAGGATTAGGTAACTGTATCAAGCATTTTTTTTACTATCAAGCACTAAGAATAGTCGAGCGTTGCTGTTAACTTAATTTGAACTTTATCAACTAGAACTTTTAACATTTTAACAAATAATTTATGGTTTGGTCTTTTCTGTAGCTTTGTTTCCTCTTGGACCTTTGTGTTCAAACTAACACTTAATTGGTTTATCAAAGTCAACACATATAACAACATGTTCAATTCCTACAGTTAACATGTATAATGCTGTTTTCTTGTTGTCAAGTTGTATGTCCTTGATGTCTGCACTTTTTGACCACAAACTTTTTATCCAGTCCAAAATTCATGTTACATGGTGTTCCAGTTTAGGAACTATAGAAATTTAGAAAACCATCAACACTTCCAAAGTTTCTGTTGTCTTTATACTCTACCAATCCTGTATTTTATGTGGTATATTTTAAAAACCACATGCCCAAATGGCCTATGATTACAAAATCCTAAATTCTTTGACTGAGTTATTCAGCTTCAGATATTATTATTGGCTTGACTATTTTTTCAGACTAAATGTAAATTTAAGAAAAAAATTTTAACAGAGAGTAAATCTGCAATTCTAATGAAAAAGCAGTGTTTATGTAATTCATGAAAATGTGTAAAATATATAATTATATATGTCATTATATTTGTTCAGGATACAATTAATAGAAGTCAGAGGCAAAAGTACTAGGGGAGTCAGAAAGGTATTCATCCTTTTAACACCTGATATGGTTAAAGGCATTGAGTATCTTCTGCAAACAAGGGCATATGCTGGTGTCAAATCAGACAACAAATACGTATTTGGAAGGACATGTGCTACCCCTCAGGATGGTTGTACAGCAATGAGGGAGGTTGCAAAAGCTTGTCCTGGTCTTTCCAATCCAAACTTGATTAGGACAAGACTTCTTCGAAGATACCTGGCTACAAGTACACAGGTATAAGTTTTATGTTTTGTCAGACTGATATTTAGCTCGCTGTTTGGAAGAAAAAGTCAATCTATTGAGGTGGCTCAGTCGTCATAACAGAATTTTTGTCGGCATGCAAAAAACTTTGATATAGCCCAATACTCAAAAAGTATATAAGGTATCAGCATCAAGCTCATCATGACAAGGGAAAACAAGGGCTATTGCACGGAAAGTTATATTTTCAAAGTTATTGCCCTTTTTAACTTAAAAATTTTAGTAGAATGATGGCCCTTGACAGATTTGGTACTGCATGTAGTGCTTTTGTTATAGATCTAGCACTGAATTTCACTGATGCACTTAAAGAAGTACTAGGCTCATTTAAGAGTTAAAACTTTTGATGCTGAAATCTATCCAATTTTATTTAAGTCATACTGACTATGTCTAATTTAAATAAGAGAACACACAAAATGTGTATTGAAAGCTGCATTATATTTTGACAGTTCAAGTTAAGTAGGTCATTTCTTATAAAAACAAATGCCATTTCTTTTTTTACGGCACTGTATTCATACTTTATTTACCTATGGTGTTGGGCTACCATGACCGAGTGGTTAAGGTTGTTGACTTCAAATCACTTACCTCTCACCACTGGGTTCAAGCCTCTTGAGCGACTTCTGATTTTTCAAGTGAGAAAGCTATCCAGCTACCTAACGGAACATCGGTGGTTCTACTCAGGTGCCCGTTTTCCTGAAATAATGTAGAGGGACACCTGAGGTCTTCCTCCTGAAATTTGAACCAAGTATACCTTTTATCTACCGTGGCTTGTAGCTTCTGAACTCAGATATTTGATGTACTTTTGAGTTAAAACATATATATTTATAGATGATTTGGAAACAAGCACTTCCTACATTTTGTTAATTCCACTTGTCAGCTTCTCATTTGAAATGTTTATGAATCCTTTTATAGATTGAGAATTTCCTGATGGGATTAAGCCATTAAGTCTGTTTCCACTTTATATCTCTTGAACCTATCCATGGATTATTATGTCAGATCTGTAAATAGATATTTAATAGAGAATGTCCTTTTGCAATGTTGCTAATTAAAATGTAATAAATAGATCATGGATATGTCTGGTGATGAGTTGCGAATGGTTGCCGACCATATGGGACATTCTGTGCAGATTCACACAGACATCTATAAGCTCCAGAGTTCTGTGTTGGAGAGGACAAAAGTAGCAAGGGCCTTGGTAGCCATTGAAAATGGAACCTTGTGCAACTTTAGAGGGCATTCCCTGAGCAGCATCAACATTGATGGTAACACATTATATATATTTATAGTCTTTTTCATGCCTCTGAAAAGTGGGTATCTTAAAATTGTGCCTACCGTCTGTCCGAGCAAACATTTGGATACTTAGGTGGCTCGGGAACAATAAGATTTTTATGTTATTCATTCAGTAATCTCTTGTGTGGCTATTTTTCGTCTTAGGTGGCTAAATGAACAATAGAGAGAACAATAGAGAAGCCAAATAAGTATAATATTGTGAGGCTTTCCGTCCATCTTGATTTCGTGTCCAGGCTATCTTTCTCTTATTCATGGAATGATTGCAAAATTATTTAGACAAGTATGTTATACATCAAGATTATGTGTCGCATAAAAGAACCTCGCCTCTATCTTAAAAGTCAAGGTAACACTTGCTGGTTAAATGTTTATCAATCAGTGTCCAAGCTATATTTTCCTCATTCTGGAAGGATTGCAAAATAATTTAGTCCAATTGTGTTATATATATCAAGACCACGTGGTCACTATATATTTCCTCAGCAAAGCGTCATTAGGATTTAAATCATACAGTGTAGGAGGACATTATTCCAAAAATTGAACAACATTGCTTCTGGATTTTTTAAACATGACCATGATATTTCATATCAATGATATCATAGTTGAATCTATAGCTTTCATGTTTTGGGATCAGACTGGATGGCTGCATTAAGCATCATTGTCACCAGACTATCAGAGAGGACTTATGGACTGCAAAAACACCTGTCAGCTATTAGTCCTGCTACCGTATCTGCAAGAATATCTTAAAAGAAAACATTTGTAAACATATAAAAACTATGTGATATAGAACGGTTTGAACCTTGAGAACAAAACAGTAGGAAAAGTAGAAACATTTATTGAAAAGTAGGAGCCATTTCAAAAAAGAAGGAAAAGTATCAGCCATTTCAAAAAATAAGGAAAAAGTATGAATGCTGGAAGCCTGCACAGGTCAAACTGCAGGAGGGGGGGGGGGGGTTGGGGAAGGGGGGATTTTGACAACATCTCTTAAACCACATAACCAATTGCAACCAAACTTCGCAGAAATGAATCTTAGGTGGTACTTTTCAAAGTTGTTCAAAACAGTTAATTCAATTGAAAATTCTAGTTGCTATGACAACCAAAAGGAAAATCTATGACAGTCTTCTTGTCTTCAAGGCCTACATCTTAGATATTTGACTTATAGTGACTTCTACCAAGATTGTTCAAGTTATGGTACCAGAGTACAATAAAGTACTCACCACCCTGGTGGTCCGTTGATTTACTGTAGATTATATAAGGAAACTTTAAAAATGTTTGGCTTAGAGCTTGAATATTTTTTGTTTACAATACCTTGAACTTTCACAGGTATTCATCTTATAGAGAAGTGAAGTGAATAAGAGCATTTACACTCCTTACTTTGATCCTGTGGTCAGTGCCAATAACAAGACGAGTATTGGCATCACATATGCTTCTCTTGTTTAAATAGAAATCGTGTAGCGATATACATCGATACAATGTAAAAGGAAAAAAATATTAAAGAATGAAAACTTCACACTAATACATTTTGTTTTATGTACTTTACATGGTATATGCCATGATTTTAGGTGAAAAAAATAAACAAATAAATTTTGCCACTCTTCAAAATTACTGTCATTTGAAACATTGAAAATAAAAACAAAATTATATTTTTTAGAAATTCCAGATCCTGTAGACCCTATTGAAACTATGGAGGATAAAGAGACAGATGATTTCAATGAAGGAGTGGAGGATATGGATGTTGCTGGAGGAGTTTCATCTGAAGCAATTGTTGTGGAAAGGAAAGGTGAAGTAAAAAGAAATGTTTTTATTCATTTCCATGAAATAATGTTGAAATACAGATAATAATCAATACAGGACCTTGAAATACAGGACACTGCTTTCATATATACTAAGCCACAAAGTAATGGATTTAGGTAGAAAATTGGAAGTTTAGTTAAAGAAACAGTTCTTAGGTTTTATAGAGCAACATTTAAATCCACATGTACTTTTTAAGCCATAATGATAATAAAAGCAACAGACACGCTACAACTGCCTTATAACTTTCTTTACTGTACTGGTTTCCTAGCATTTTACGGCCCAAAATCACAATTTTTACACATAAAATAAGAATTTATAAACGGAAAAGTACAAAACTTTACCAGAACACAGCATTGCCTTGTTTTTATTTTGCTCTTAAACTTAATATTTCAATAGTATACGAGCCAAGAAAACTAAAAGTTTTCTTGTTTTAATTCAAAATTCATAGTATTTTTCTGGACCTCCTTATTTTTAAAATAAGTCCTGTCCATGTAATGATAAACATCTACATTTGAATATGCAAATACGGTTTAGTGAAATTTTCTCATATCGTCTGCAAGTATAATGCTCAAAAGAAATAATTTAACTTGAATGGAGCGTTAACAAGTATTTGAATTGAAATTCTCCAGGTATTGCCTATTTTCTGATGTAGCAAGTTCCCTAAGGTGTCTTTAAACAGCCGACAAATCTGTAAAATATGTAGACCACTGTTCTTATTTTTTTGCTCTTTGGAACAGAAATTAGAAATCTCTTTCAATTGATGAAGTGTCACAGATTCTGTACCAATAAAAAAAGACCTTACTCAACAAAGATGAGAAAGGGCTGGAAACTGCTAGGGGCAAGAAACTGCTAGGAATCCAGTAAATTACAAAATAGATGACTTAATATATATATATATATGAATTCCTATTAGTTATCTGGATATTAAGAATTAAATTTATTAGGCAGTTACAAGTATTTTCTATAAAGTTTGCAAACAATATGCATAGGGTACTGTAATATTGACAATAAGGACAGTTACAAGTAAATGTTATATTAAAATTGTTAGAGTGTGATAAATTTTACATCCAAAAAAAATTTCCAGAAAATGTTACACTCTTTCAGATGGAAGACAAAATATTTTATTGAGATTTTTTAATGACTTTCCCACTTTTGTCAAATTTAAAAGGATTGTATAGAAAAAAATTGAACAAGAAAAGTTATGATTTAAGATGGTTTATACTTCCCATAGCATACTATTATGAATTTGAGCATTTCTTTTGTGAAATATGTTACAATTTTTTTTTTTTTTCAAAAGGGTTAAAACGTAAACGATGGAGTAGCGAAGAGGAGAGGGATTTGGAGAGAGCATTCGGTGTTAAGATGAAAAATAAACAAAATGTATCAACTGAAGACATTAAATGGGCAAAGGAAAATTTTCAAAGTTTGATGGAAAGATCAGAAGCAGTAATTAGGTCAAAAGTAAATAATATAATACTTGGAAAATCAAAAAGAAATTAAACTTGGATAAGCCTTATTGAGAAACATCTATGATGTAGAAGACTATGTCTGCTTGAGGATAGGGGTGATGGGGGGCACACGTGTTTAAAAACATCTCTTATTTAATATTAAATGGATGATCGAGTATTTTTGTAGTCAGAACAAAACTTTTTCTCATGTTTTTGTGACACCATAATTTTTCGTATTTGAACAGTCTTATTTGTTATGCCAAGGGAAAATTTGTTATTGTTATTGGAGCATTTATTACTTTTTTATACCTTATGAATAAGGAAGCAATGATTATTTTATGCCCCAAAAGGATGGCAAATAGTAATCGCCCCATCCTTTTGTCCATTTAACTTGACACTTCATGCAACCTCATAGCATTATTTAACTTATCAAGTACTTGATCCCTGTAAGATATTGAGTCAGTAGATCAAAAGGTCAAGGTCACTGTGACCTAAAATGTGAAAATCATCTCTATATGATAACTAGAGTTTCTTTTTATCAACACTCTTCAAACTTCATAGGATGATTGTTCAAAGACAGGTGATAATCCCTATTGCTTTTTGGGTCAGTAGGTCAAAAATGTCATGGTCACAGTGGCCTGTAATGTTGAAATTCCTTCTGTGGTATAACTTGACTTTTGTAATACTCAAAGTCTCAAAACTTCATAACTCAATATGTGTCAGTGAATAGAAGTTTTCCCATTGTTTTTGGTAGTCTAATAGGACAAAGGTCCAGGGGGGTATGTCAGTTCTCAAAGAGATGCCTCGTTATACCTAAAATGAAAAAAATGTCAACAATTGAACCAGTCATGTATCATTGACAATTAATACTTATTTTTAATCATTGAAATGATCCTAAATTTAACTTTATAGTAACCATAAATAAATCAAGGAAATCAGTAAAGTACTTTGAGTTATATTTGAAACAAATTAAGAGGATAAAATAGTAATTTAGTAATTTAAGAATATCAGTAAATTATTTGGATGATATCAATAAAAAGATCTCTGTATATCATTTATTCAATAATTGATAATATTATAGATATACATTAATTTGAAATATTTTCTAATTTCTAATAAATTTAAAGTTTTGGCTATAAAACTTCAGAATAGTCAAAGTCTGTACCATTTTGTGATAATATTTGATTTTTCTTTTTAAATTTTGAAATCCCTATGTATTTTCTGAAATTCTCTTTTACACTGAATTCAAGTTATCTTGAAAATTTAAATAGATATTCAGTATACATATTTTTTATATTATTAAATCATTTCAAAATATTGTGAACACATCAATGGAATTTGAATTCTACATAAATTCTTTTAAGGGTATAAACAATCATTTCATCATTGTTGAAAGATAAGAATTTTGGGATAGCTTTAAAGAAAGAATTAGTTAAGAATGCAGATATATTATAACATCAAGAAGGATATCATAAAAGCATATTTAATAAGTTATACAAAGAATATTCATTTTGTGTTTCTAACACTTAAAGTGATAACATGATAAAAATCTTGGGAAATAAGTAAATCATTAGAACTGGGCAGGTTGATTTACATGATACTCATGTTTTTTTTCTATTTCATATTCTATTTTCAAAGACAGTCATTTCTTTATAATTGTTATCATGATTATTGTTTCACTTCTTGGAAACAAATGCCATTTCACTTGCAACAGTGATGAAAAATTAAACAGTAATTGGGAGTTTTAAACTCTACAATTCATTTTAGCAGACGAAACTGATAACTGTTTGTTCAGCCTCATAAATTATGTGTAGTGTTGATTAAAGAATATTTAGTTTCCTTACTGAAGTTACTCATGTTAATCAAAGATTAATCAAAGATAAATTTGTTAGTTTTTTGTTTTGTTTGTTTGTTTGTTTTTGGTGTTTTTTTTCTGAATATTGTTAGAATCAAAATAGGTTCATGTTTTCCTTGCTAAGTCATATATCATATCGAATGTTTGATTGAATTGATGTTTTAGTTGTAGTTTGTATGTATTTCAGCCAGTGTTATACATTCAGAGGTTCAATCTCCAGAACCATTTTCATAAACATTGCTTCTTAGAATCCATTTTAACCAGACTCTTGATTACTACTCTACACTCTGTAATACCATTGAATGTTTGGTTAGCGATAAAATGGCCGTGTGCCCTCTTGTTCTGATATACCTTTCAAATAGTAATTCATTTCTAAATCATTCAAATTTATGTTGACCAAATTAATTTCCATTAGAGTATACTTTTTCTGAATAAATTTTTAACACTAGTAAGACTTGATGTAGGTATGTTATGGTTATTCTGATGAATAAGGGATTCAATGTTATGGAAATTCAAATGGTTACTGTGATTCACACACTTATCAATGCTTCAGACTGATTTTAAGATTCTAAATTTTCTTGTCATGCTTGCCCAATTAATTATTCTGTACTATCATTTTCGTTTGTAATGATTCCTATTTTTTGGTCAATTCATTAAAGTTCTTTGTTTAACAGATCAGTTTATCTTTTCACCAAAGTAGCTTTTTTTTTAATGTATTAAAAAATAGTAACTTAAATATTTTTATGCCCACACAAAGTGGGAGCATATGGCGTTGCACTTGTCCGTCCGTCTGTCTGTACGTCCCGAAATTTGTGAATGCAACTCTTAAACCTGATGGCAGATTTTGCTTAAACTTCCAGGGATGAACAATCTTTATGTGTAGATGTTAGTAAAGGAAGGAATATTTGCTGCGACCAAATTTAACAGAATTATGGCCCTTTGTTGATTTTTTCACTACATACTATGAAGAAATCTTGTGAACGCAACTCCTCTTAAACCGGATGGCAGATTTTGCTTAAACAGGCATGAGCAACCTTAATGTGTAGATGGTAGTAAGGTAGACAGGGAAGTCTGCTGGAATTAGTTGGAAAGAATGTAGTTTATGCTTGATTTGTATCAAGCTATACATTGAAAACTCTGAAATAGTCTGTATCAGTTGGTTTTGAATGAAAATTAGTATTGAATCATGATCCCACTTTATCTTGGCTCGGCTTTTTTGTCCACTATTGTAAAACCCCATTAGTGCTACATCAATTGTAATTCACATGTGGTAGCATTTTTATGGGGTATTTTATACAGAATTTGAAAAAAAATCAAAAGTGTATATAGTTTTTTGAAAAATGATAAGGGATATTTTATACAGGAAGTTGAAGTCATAGTAGTTAAAAATGGCTGAACAGCATTCATGCATGTTTAGTGGATTTGCAATATTTTTACTGAAACGGGCTCATGTAAACAGTGTACATGATTTTTGTGTCGCCTCTACGGAGTAGTGGCGACATATAGGGATCACTTCTCCGTCTGTCCGCCTGTCTGTCCGTCCGTCTGTCACAAAACTTGTCCAGACTACCCCTCATAAACTACTGGTGCAATTTCATCCAAACTTTACAGGAATGATCAGTATCAAGCCTTATTGTGCATATTGTCAGCATTTTCCGGTTCAATGATTTTTGTCAAGAGTTATGGCCCTTTAATAATTTTTAATTTTAAAGTTTGTCCTGACTACTTCTCTTATACCACTAATGCAATTTCAATGAAACTTTACAGGATTGATCTGTAGCTCAAGTCCTTGCGCATATTGCAAGGGTTTCCGGTTGAATGATTTTTGGCCGAGTTATGGCCCTTTGATAAAAAGGTGTTTTTTTCTGTGTGTTGCCAGATACACAATAGCTTGTCCGGACTACTCCTCATAAACTACTGGTGCAATTTCATCCAAACTTTACAGGAATGATCAGTACCAAGTCTAGTTGTGCATATTGTCAGCATTTTCCGGTTCAATGATTTTTGTCAGAGTTATGGCCCTTTAATAATTTTTATTTTTAAAGTTTGTCCGGACTAGTTCTCTTATACCACTTATGCAATTTTAATGAAACTTTACAGGATCGATCTGTAGCTCAAGTCCTTGCGCATATTGCATGGGTTTTTCGGTTGAATGATTTTTGGCTGAGTTATGGTCCTTTGATAAAGGTTTTTTTTTCTGTGTGTTGCCAGATACCAAAAGCTTGTCCGGACTACTCCTCATAAGCTACTGGTGCAATTTTATCCAAACTTTACATGATTGATCAGTACCAAGTCTAGTTGTGCACTGTCTGTCCGTCTGTCACAAAATTTGTCCCAACATGAAATTGGCCATTATGAGGCGACACATGTGATTACCGATCGCTCTTGTTTAAGTCAAGAAGAAAGAGAGAGATGCTGTATTCATACATATGATAATGGATATGTAATCTACTTTGACAGCTACATTTCATCCGTGCCTTTTGGACACAGTTCTAGTTAAGTTTTAATCAACCTTTGTTTCTCTGTCAAAGTTATTTTTTTGAATTGCCATTCTAATGAGTGGGCTCATGTAAACAGTGTACATGATTTTTTAAGTCAAGAAGAAAGAGAGAGATGCTGTATTCATACATATGATAATGGATATGTAATCTACTTTGACAGCTACATTTCATATATTTTGACAACTTTGTATTTGGAAAGTAAGAAGATATTCCATGTGATTTTTTTCACTATATACCATATATATGTTGTCATTGGGGGCATCCGTGTCCTTTGGACACAGTTCTAGTTTAGTTTTAATCAACCTTTGTTTTTCTGTCAGTTATTTTTTTGAATTGCCATTCTAATGAAATCGGGATTTTTTTATAATTTTTCTGCATAGACAACTGTTGAATAAATATATGAAGTTTGTTTTGTATATTTTTGAACGTTAAAGCTGCCTTTCATGTATGGTCTTATGGTTTAATTTACTAGTAATGAAAAAGGTATAAAATTGCTGTGCACTTGTAGAATGCTTATTTCTTGAATTAATGGGACAAAATATTATATGTATGTTTTTAGATATGTTCATTGATGTACTGATTGAAGAATAATAGCATTTGTTATACATTTGGTAAAATTATAGATATTAGCATAATAGTATGGTTTAACAAAGTTACTATACCTAATTCATATTTACAGTATATAGATTTTTTGCAAAGAACTTTACTTCAAATTTCATCTGTTAGAATTATAACATTAATACATGTGAAACAAATATTTACGTTTCATAGCTGTAATTAAATATAACTAGAAAAATACTTTTGGGGGGGGGGGGTCGTGGCCGAGTGATTAGTCGTTGACCTCAAATCACTTGCCTCTCACAACTGTGCGTTCCAGCCATGTCAAGCTAGCTAATGACGATAAACCAAACAAAAAAAAAAACTTAGTTTTTGTGCCCCCACTTTAGTGGCGGGCATTTTGATTTACCCTTGTCCGTCCTTCCGTCTGTTCTCTTTTGTGTCGCACGTCACTCAAAAAGTATTTGACCTAGAGTCATGAAACTTTACAGGAATGTTTATCAGCATGTGTAGTTGTGCACCTGGGTATTTTAGTCTGGATTTATTTAGTATTTTTTAAGAGTTACTGCCCTTGACTTAGTAAATTTTGCAATTTTCAACTTTTGTCGCATGTAACTCAAAAAGTATTTGACCTAGAGACATGAGACTTAACAGGAATGTTGATCAGCATGTGTAGTTGTGCACCTGGGTATTTTAGTCTGGATTTATTTAGTATTTTTAGAGTTATTGCCCTTGACTTAGTAAAATTTTGCAATTTTCAACTTGTGTCGCATGTAACTCAAAAAAGATTTAACATAGAGTCATGAAACTTTACAGGAATTTTGATCAGCATGTGTAGTTGTGCACCTGGGTATTTTCGTCTGGATTTATTTAGTATTTTGAGAGTTATTGCCCTTGACTTAGAATTTTTTTTGCAATTTTCAACTTGTGTCGCATGTAACTCAAAAAGAATTTGACATAGAGTCATTAAACCTTACGGGACGGTTGCTCAGCATATGTAGTTGTGCACCTTTGGTTTTGCTTGTGGATTTATCCAGTATTTGTAGAGTTATTTCCCTTGACTTATTAATGTTATTATGTTGTTATTTGTTCCTTGTGTGCTTGAGTTAGAATCAATCAACTTTACTGGAATAATGATCAACATCACTTAATTACAGAAATAATGATTCACATCACTGTGAAGCTGTGCACCTGGAACTTTGCATGTGGATTTTTTTTCAGTTTTGTTAGAGTTATTGCCCTTGACTTACAGTAGCATAAATTTGCAATTTTCAACTTGTTCAAGAATAGCTCTATAAGTATTTTACTTGTAGGCCTGAAAGTTTACAAGAATGTTGTTCAGCATGTGTACTTAGCACCTTGGGGTTTGCTTGCGGATTTATTCAGTATTTGTAAAGTTCTTGCCCTAAACTTAGTAAAAGATTTTTAGTTTTCAAAAAATATTTCACCTAGAGTCATAAAATTGACAGACCAGTGGCGCGGTGGGGGCACCCGTGTCCTATGGACACAATTCTAGTTTGTTACATAAAAGTGAATGATAGACATTAAAAACCAGATACCAAATTATCAGCATTGAAATCTTGCTGGGCTAATTTTGTCATTATCCCATTGAAGATAGTGAGCAAATAGTTTTTGTTTTTCAAAGACCTGTTATAATAGTTACCATCAGGTTATTGCCAGGTAAAGTAATAATTCTAATAACACTATTGATAGCCTTCAGCCCATTGTCGTGTGATGTAATTTGTCAATAATTTCTTTAAACAATTTCTTTTCCTAAACCACATGTCATATTGCAACCAAACATTAAATCCCATTGAAAACTCAATTTGCCATTACAACCAATTTGAAAAACTGAATAATTTGTAAAAAACAACAAAGCCTAGAGCTTGAATATTTGGTGTGTCACATCCCCGTGTACCTATATCAAGATGGGTCAATACTAGCCATGCACTGA